GTGCCGACTCGGTCCCGAGTCTCAGCACGTGCCGAGATCTCTAACGTGAACGCCACTATAGAACCCATAGTTTTGTCTTTCTAAACATTGGTTTTGTAAATAACGCCGATCGTCATTGAATACTAGGGGATTAATCGGAGTCGCGTGACCGAGAAACGACTTTTGACAGTTTGTACAAACATATCCCCCCCCGCGATATGCGATGTATATTTCTACGCAGTGTATTGTTTTCATTTCCACTGAAACTACTGTGTGAGATGTGTTAGTATGATCATAAACATGTCGAAAAGTATTTACGTGATTGAAGAGGAAAGGCGAGATTGTACGTCACGGCGTGTTGTCGGCGCATTCGATCGACGTTGATTATTTTTATTGTTGAGTTTTTATTTTGTCTCGCAACTGAGGGCACTCGCTGTCTCATACTTGCCAGCCAATAAACGTTTGTTTTGGGTCACCCCTACAAACAGTCATAGTAAATGTAGTTGTAGCGTGGTATTCCATAAATCTATTCACAAGAACGTCGACGTTTCTCTTATAAATACTCTTGAACGTCTTGTTGATCTGTATGTTTCTGTACAGATATATCTTTAGAAAGGCAACACACGAGTTACAACCAGCAAAATATCGGTGCAGCGTCGGGGATACGTATGAACATATTGCTGAAGCGGATTGTGATTGTGTGCTTATTCGTAAGTGCTTGTCTCTTTTCAATTGTCACAACCAGCTGTCGCCACACATACAATGGTTGCCTATATATGATGGGATTACAGTAAAACATTGAAAGGTAGCCATTGATAATGAATTTATAGATTCAGATTATTAAGTTTTAACTCGTCTCCTTGCTGTTATGCCACGTGCCATGTGTTATTGGAATTAATCTGAACACATTAAAAGGAAGGAAAATCACAATGAGGGGTAATAATTTTCCCCAGGCATGTTACGCAATTTACGAAATTATGAGTATATATATTGCAATTAATAATGTGCTTGCAAAATAATGTGATCAGCACATGTTGTCATAGTGATGAAGTCCAATTTTACTCCAAAAAATCAGAAACGTTTGTTTGAGGCTTTAATTACTAGGGTTTATATATCTAACACTTCTCTGGAATTTTTGCTGAAAACAATCAATTGTGGAAGCTTCTGAGTATTTTATTTATGGTGTAAATTCACAATGTTCCATGTGTACCTTCCTGATTGGGGTAAAACAAGTCTATTTTTACAACTGTATGTTTTTTATTCACCAGAACGTGTTATTCGCCAGAACGTGTAGGAAATAGCCAGGTTCAGAGAGATGTTGTGAGGGTGTAGCCTGAAACAACGGTAGCGGTGTTAGCTACTTATACACTACGTGGATTAACTATTTAAAACATTGATTGACTATATTTGTCGAATTCAAGTTGTTAATTCAAGTTAGTCGTGATGAATTGATGATGACGTCGGTATATTGCATAAGAAATTGAATCAGCCAAAGAATAGAATTCCAGGAAACATTTTTCTTTGGCATAATATTGTACTTACATAGACTCTCAATATCTGAATTCATGACAGAATAATGATGAATCCAGTGGAGGTAATTTTGCACTAATGAATTAATTTTGTCAAGTGCCTAATTAACCAATACATGATATTTTGTTGAGGATTGTAAAATGTCGTGTAAAATGAACTATTACCCTAGAAATATCTTGACCTTCGTTTTAATTAATAGTTTAAAAACAAACTTTTAAATATTTTATAGTTATAAGAAAACAACAAAGGCAAGAGTTTTCAGGATGAAATTCGTTTAATTGCAAGTATACACAACATAACATCTCCATCAGACAATATTGTTTCTGATTTATATAGAACACAGTTGTAATTTAAAAAAACAAAACATTAAACTGCTCACGCCCATCGTTTAAATATATATATATACCGTGCTTCCGGGTTGAAACGCAATATTGGAAGCTTGGGATCCCAGGTCATCATCAGGGTATGTCAATAAGGAAAGATTTCATTTTGCACCCCTTAACAGTAACCCTACCTCTACCGTCTTGTGTTTCACAATTTAATTGTTTATACAACTAAGAACACCGTGGTAAGTATCTTCAGAGGGGCATACTTACAATTTAATTGGGGGTTAGGGTTAGGAGTGGGATGCAAAAAAAAAAACTCTTTCCGTCAATAATCCTATATAAACACATGAATTTTGTAGGGAACGCCAGTGCAAGTTTAAAATGGGTGAAATAATGCAGCGTGAAAATATATATGCAAATAAGGCTTCGGTGACCCCACTGCCATGTGCCCTTGAATATATCACTTCAACGAAGGGGGCGTTCACTAAGTATGAACTAATCAAATGAATAACAAAATACCCCTACGTTTTTTATTTGTATAAAACACATTTGATGGTTAAATATAAGGCGAGTTCTATTTGTTTATCAATTAATAATTGAACACACGATGAAGTTCCTCACTGATGTGTCGGCGTTCAATTGTTAACTATTTATTTGTTGCGATTTAGACATCCTCATACATCAAGACGCCTACCATCGATAAGCTCGTTAACAGTGGTGTAAAATTGAATAACTATTATGTTGCTGGTCACTGCGCTCCATCGCGGACTATGAAATGTCTGGTAGACATGTGGTATGTAATCAATAATTGTAATATTTGAGTCAAAATGAGGATTTAGACAATTTGTTTCGTGTACATATGAAATTGTAAACTATAGTGTTCACAATGTTCACAATAAACAATGTTCACCCAGAAACATTGATATGGGGCGCCATTTGTATATTTCTTGATGTAATAATTACACTATACATGTAATTACACTAATTGTATTTGTATATAATGCAGTGAATTATTAAATTATCAGTTGCTAGTGTATAGTGAGTTTTTTTCAAGATCATATTTATGATTTGTAAAATGAAACTTTTGTTGAGATGAGATGACCTTCTTGAAGGTCTTCCGTGTATGTGTGTGTTCGAAATTAATACACACAGAAACCTTAATAATGAATAATGGACGTGCTTCTAATTTTGTGTGGCACTCTTTATTATCACTGTCACTCATCATAAAGGTATCAACAGGAATGGTGTTTACCACCAAGATATTGGTGTGAATTTAAAACAGTATGCTATACCTTGATTGTGCTTGTAATTTGACCAGCACACATTGCTATTCTTCTCATGAATGACAAGTATATAATTTATGTACTTATTCAAATAAGTAGCAAATTATTTCTGTTCTATTATAAGATTGACTTTGGTTTACAACATGGCCACATCGCTGGAAATCCCCGGGGTTTACCACTGAACGAGTCTACTTTTGTAGACAAGTTGAAAGAGGCTGGATATGCAACCCATCTTATTGGAAAATGGCATTGTGGATGTTATACGAAGGACCATAACCGCATAACAGAAGATTTGACACATTCTTAGGTTAGCGTATTTGCATTCGTTTTAACAATATACAATTCACCTATGTAGAGCAAGCCTTTCGAATACAGTTGCAACAGTTCAGTTGTATTCATACTAGAGTTGTACAAGACACACATTTATATAGAACAATCACAACCGACAACACATACTGCTAACTGACAAGCATAAGGTTTATTACAACATCATATAATAATGCAATTGAACGACACAGATAAATAATTGTGGGACTGCATTGAAAGGTCTTTTCAATTGAATAGATTTATGCAGAATACTCATGTCCGTTACATACCCTTGGTTTCTTTCAAGACTTTATGCCGGGTTGAGTATTTCTTACTCGTGAAAAATGTGTTGCTCAATAATATATGTACGTTTCTTATATACCGATTACCAAATAAGTAACTATTTCAAAGAAAAAATACTTAAAAGACTGTGTTGAGGGCCATTTTGAAATATAGTATTTCTGTATTTTGTCTAAGACTAATAGATATGAAATGTTTTATGGTTTTATTTACAAGGAAAACAAAACTTCTTATGTTCGCTGGATGTGCGATTAGATAGAAACAAATGGTTTTCTATATCTCATCTGACACAGTTTATGTGATGAGTGAATGAGAACTTTCAACAACATCAACTTTACCCATAAACAAGTACATAATAGTGTTACTAGATAAATTTGAGATATAATGAATTGATTTACGTGCCAGGTAGAAAGTTCCAAGTAAATGTAATTGTTGTACAGCTTATTTTTGTTGAATTCACATATTAGGTCGTGGCATATTTATACGTGTTGTTGGGTATTAAAGCGGGAGGGTCGTCACCTGCGCACGCGCGGGAATTAAGTCCCAAGCGATGATAATAACACACGCTAAAA